GGTATATACGCGCGCTGAAACGGCAAATTTTCTCCCGCGCCACTCCCACTCATCTCATGCAACTTCTTACAATCGAAGCAAGTACGACCCCCCTCTACAAACTCATCAAAATATACGACCCCCCTCTACAAACTCATCAAAATACGACCCCCCCGTTGCTACTTGTAGCAACATAGGGTTGACCCTGCCTGCCAATGAAAAGCACGCAACGGAGCCGCACGTTGCCGCATTTCCACGCAAACTGTTACGGTGAGCGGAGGGGAGGGGGAGGCGGGGTGGTATCGAGACTCTACAAGGGGAAAGAGGTCGTAAGACTTTCGAAGTCGGTTCAACGTGACGGTTGACCGTGACTCGGGGTCAAAGTCTAAACCAATTCTGTTCACGCCACTTTCTAAGTATCTACGCCCCACATAGATTATTTCCGACAGCAGGAAAATCGCTGCCCTACCGTCAAACCCAAATGTCGCGCCACGACGCCACTCAAGTGGCCGCGCACGGCGGCGCGGCGACTTGAGGCCGGACGATTCCGTTGACCGTTCCCTTCTGAGAGCTGGTCCCGACTGGAGAGATAGTGGAAATCAGGAGAGGCGAGACTGTCAAACGAGGGATCGACAATAGTTTTCATGGAATAACTTATTACAACTTCAACCAAATCAGTAGTTTTGCACATGGTTAGACTCGCCACAGAGAGACGAGTCCATTGCTGTAAAGATCCTTTCATTTTACCCGCTTTCGAGGGAGTTATGACGGTGCGACGGTTTGCGACGCTACAAAACCGTCACAACGCAAGGTGTTTCAAAAATTAGGAGCAGTATTGCAGCTCCCTTCCTCTGAGAGGAAGAGCGCTAATTAACATGATAACAAAAATGTCATACTTCCTTCAATGAATGTGTGGTATTGAACAAAACTGTTTTGAGCTGCTCCTGCATAGGCATGAGCTGTAGATGAAGGCGATTAGTACAAAATTAATTTCAGCAAATGTACCAGTAAGATAACAGAAAAAATTCTTTTGAAAATAAGCCGGGTGGCTTAAGAATTATGGACTGACCTGGAATCAAAATCTGCCCTCCTCCACACTTCATTATATTGCCCTCATCACATCGATGTCAGCAACGTTCCTTGAGATGCATAACTCTTTCAATGAGACCATAATGGTTTATTTTTTTTTATGGACATGTGAAAACATGTGCACATGTAACAGCAACATAACTAAAGTCCGTAACAGAAAACATCAACCAAGTGTTACAAAACCGCACCAGTTCAAATGATCTCACCAATACTTTCTCTTGAAAGTGACATACTTCACAACAAACAACTCGGAAAAACACGATTGAAACAAGAACACACCCTATTGGGGACGTTGTCAATCTAATCGACGCGATATAGTAGGATATAGTAACCAGTTGGCGCCGCACGCATTGCGCGCGCAACACAGATCTGCGGCGAATTTTGATGGTGCGACGAAAATTTTCAAATTTGGCTTGATACATACGAATATCTGAATTCTCCGCTAAAAATCCGCTCCTCATCGACGCTCTCTTTTTCTTCGTCAACCATTATCCTCTTTTTCTCGGTCTCGGACTGCTTCCGGACAATAAATCTCGTGGCAAACTCCGCCTACTTCGGTGCGTGCCCCGCCCACCAATAGCATTTGGCCCCCTTCCTTTCGCCGACCTCTACCCCTTTTTTCACCGGTCTCTGGGACCTCTTGGAACCAAATTACGACACTTTTGGCAAACTCCGCCCACTTAGGTGCGTGCTCCGCCCACTAATAGCAGTTGACCTCCTTTCCTTCGCCAACCTCTACCCCTTTTTCCCAGCCTCCTGGACTTCTTGGAGCCGAGTTATGAATTTTCGTCGCAAACTCCGCCCACTTTGGTCAAGCCCCGCCCACCGATGACAGCTGGCCTCCACTCCTCCACCCACCTCATCCACCTTTTTCCCGGCCTCCGGGACTTCTTGGAGCCGAGTTATGAATTTTCGTCGCAAACTCCGCCCACTTTGGTCAAGCCCCGCCCACCGATGACAGCTGGCCTCCACTCCTCCATCCACCTCTATCCACCTTTTTCCGGCTCTTTAAGACTTCCCGGCCCGAATTATGAGGACTTGTAGAAAATGCTGTACACTTCAGAGCGCGCCCACGTCATGTATGCAGGAAACACCTTAGACATTGCTCCCTACACCAATTTGTTTTCTGCTCTGTAGGCTTTCTCCCAACCGAGTTATGAAATTTTTCATAAAGCACTGCTTTTTTAGAGAACGCCCCGCCCACACTTGACCCGGTCCCTCCAGGCGGATCCCGAGGAGCTAGGGAATTTCGTGACAGACATACAGAACGACAGACAGACAGACGACAGACAGACAGACAACGACAGACGAAGCGCTTTATAGTAAGTAGGATACCTAGCAAGCTTTGCTGTCCACTTTTTGTTGAAAGCCTGAAAAACTGCCCAATCAACCGGTGACTGGGAGAAAACTGCCTTATTCCATAGTCTCCCTCTAGTTGTCTTCATAGAAGGTAAATAGCCGGGAAGGGTGGTCCCGTGGCCGCCTTAGCACGTGCCCATACCATCGCAGACGCTGTTCCCGTACCTTCAGCTGGACAGGGGCAGTCTGCATGACCGCTCTGACATCCTCGTTTCTGACCCTGTCCAGTCGCGTCCAGCCGCAGGCCCATCTCAGCATCCTCATCTCAGCGGAGTGAAGCTGCCTTTCGTGATTCTTGTTCAGGGGTCAGCACTCTCCAAAGTACTTTTCGAGGTAGTCGGTCGAACGCCTTCTCCAGGTCGAGGAAGGCTAGGTAGCAGGGTCGGCGCTTTTCTCCATCACTTGCCTTGCGATGAAGATGGCATCCGTTGTAGACCTTTCGGGCATGAACCCGAACTGTTCCTGGGAGATCGGGACCAGCTCCCGCAGTTTCGAGTCGACCAGTCGCTCGTACAGCTTCATGGTATGCGCAGTCAACTTGATCCCGCGGTAGTTGGAGCAGTCCATCGCGTCACCCTTCTGCTTGAAGATGGGGACGATAGTACTTGTTCTCCAGGCATCCGGCATCCTTCCTTCCGCAGTTACCGTTGTTGAGGAATCGTGTGAGCCATCTTATCCCGTACTCACCGAGCGCCTTCCATGCCTCGATTGGCACCCCATCTGGGCCAACCGCCTTCCCATTGCCTCTTTTTGCCGTGTCCTTGTAGGGAACTCCTCGTTCAGAAGTGTTCTGTAGTACTCCTCCCACCTCCTCTTAACTTCGGCTGGCTTCCTAGGATGGCGCCGTTGCTGCTTTTTACATTCTTCACCACCCTGATGTCTTGAGTAGCCGATGCCGGGCTTTAGCCAGTCTGAAGACGAACTTCTCTGCGTTTCTGCTTTCCAACTTCTCGTACAAGGCGTCCATTTCCGTGTTCTTCGCCTTGGCGACGGCAGCCTTAGCGAGCCTCTTGCAACTCTTGTAGGCAGCGAGGTCCTCGGGGCTCCGGGTCTTCTGCCAGCGCTTGTATGCTTCCTTCTTCTGCTTCACGACTCGCTGGACCTCCTCGTTCCAGAACCACGCTGCCTTGTCTCCTCTGAATCCACCTCGCGTCTCGACCTCCTTGGCACATCGCAGGATGGTCTCGCGTTGCCCCAAGTCCGCTGTATTGGCCCGTTAGGATCTGGGAGACCAACTTCCATTATCCTTCGTTTGAGGTCATCTTCTCCGCTTGGTGCAACTTCCACCACCGGATTCTCCTCTCGGTTCTAACCCTTGTCTTCTTCGGGAGGTCCATGGCAATGTCTGCCAGGAGGGGCCTGTGCTGCGGAGCCAATTCCTCGCCAGGGAGTACCTTGATGTCTTTTACCGATCTCAGGGATGATCTTCTTACGAGCACATGGTCGATTTCCGTATGTCGTCCCCCACTGCTGTAGGTGACCTTCTGAGTCTCCCTTTTCGCGAAGAACGTGCTGCAGATTGCCAGATCGTGGGCCGTAGCCAGGTCCAGGACCCTCTCTCCCTCGGCGTTCCTCACTCCTATTCCTCTACCTCCGTGCACCCTTTCCCGGCCTCTCCTGTCACTGCCGACGTGGCCATTCAGATCACCTGCTACGGTCAGGTAATCGCCTTCCGGAATCGTTCTTATGGCTTCGTCCAGGCTCAGGTAGAACTCGTCCTTCTCACTGTCGGGGCATCCTGTCTGCGGTGCGTACACGGAGAGTATTGTCCAGTACCCCTCCTTCGTGTCTATCCTCACAGCCATGATCCGATCGCTGATCCTGTTCACAGCGGAGACATAGTCCTTGAGCGACTCCGCTACCGCTATGGCCACACCGTTCCGCTTGGTGTCTTCTCCATTGTAGTAGAGTTTGACACCTTCCCCGATTTCCCTGGCCTTAGCACCTTTCCATCGCGTCTCCTGAAGGCATAGGCACTTGGATATTCCTGCGCGTCATCAGATCAGCAACCTCTCGGGACTTCCCCAGTTAGCGATCCTACGTTTAGAGTCCCTATTCGAACTAGCTTCTTTGGCCGAGGCCGTTCACTCCTCGGTAGCCCTCGCATACTGACCACAGAACTCGGGCGGAGGGTTCTGCGCGCCACTTCCGGGTGACGTCCTAGCTTTATCACTGATTCTTTTCGACTTTAGACATGTTTGTGTGTGACTGGGGTGTTCATCAGCCGGCCTGTCAACCTGGGCCTGACGCTGGTACTAGAACCATTTTTGCAATTTTTGCAAGGCATGGATTTAGAGCCTCGGCAGGGATCGAACTCGCAGCTTTTCAGGGGTGCAGACATGATTCTAACCTCTTAACCAGCACGTTTAACAGCTAAATATAGAAGTAGGTGGAACAGCTTTGATGAGACGAGGATGATCTGAAGTGAGTTTACCCATGCGATACACCGTACATGTCACGCATTCAGTATTCAAAAAGTTCAAAACAGAGTTGGCTGATTGGAAATCATGGTTTGCCTTGTCAACTGAAGTAGTAGAAATGAGTCCAGGAAGTCCAGCAATTACAATTGACCTTTTCTTTTCAACATCACTCTCAGAAACAGACAAAGCGGGATCAGAGACAGGAGCCTTAGACAAATTTGACCTAATCTGAGAATCTTTTTCCTCTATGATTTTTTTCAACTTTTCATTTTCCGCCTTGAGTTTATCATTTTCTTCCATGAAAGCAGCGCACCATTTCCTCATCGCATCCATTTGCTCCTTCGTGTCCAATAGTAGATTTAGAATCAGCTTGACATAAGCAGGCACACTGGGTAGGGAACATTCCTCCACGAGTTTGACCCAGTCCTGCCCTTTATCCAGAAGCTCATATCCCAATGCTTCCTTTTAGATGCTGGAACAGATACCGGCCGACAAGGCGTGAACATCGTTGAAATGACTAATCAATTAATCGTGATCTCCAATAACGTCGACCCTTGCCACCACTCCAAAATCAATAGACACCAGACAAAAACTATCCGACACAAGGATTGTAAAAATACACCTGAGATTGTGGCTTTCCAAGACACAAGGCCACAAGGAACCTCATAGAACAAGCAGATGTCGAAACAGCGAAGTATTCAAAGTAGCACCGCACCAGAGTAATAGACGGAACATTTAGTAGACGACGATTAGCAATACCACGAAGAAAATACGATGTACCAGTTTGCATAATTGTAGCAACATTAGCCGAGATAGTCACTAACAGCCGGACGATAGACACTACAACCAGAAACAATCGGTAATACCTCTTTGGAAACAGCGGCTCAATTAGCTAATTATTACAAACAATTGCATAGGCATTTCGAAGGAATAACACGAACCAAAAGAAAGACCTTAGCTTGACAGCTTCACTTCTTCTTTCAAACTTGTCTTTCCGTAACTCTTACATTACCTCCTTTTACATTACTTGTGGGTATGCCGAACTGTGAAGAAGACAAAGTTGCCCGTCTAAGTCCTTCGTTGAGCTCTCTCGTAAAAGCTCCAAGACTGGGCGTACGGTCGAGTCCACAAGCGAGAGGCAAAAGCCCTCAGCTGTTGTCTGTCCGCCTTCTAGATGATCCTTCTAATTAGCTGTGGAGATGTAGTTAGAACGAGGCTCGATGTTGATTATAGAGATTGCGGCCCAATCTTTATTTTACCTCTCGCCCTCGTTGTATGTATTTGTAGTACCGCATGATCGAAAGACGCTGCCTGTCGTCAGGTGTCCTTAAACTTTCCTTAAAGGCACAACCCAGGCAGAGGTCGTGTGAACGCTTCCCTTCGGTCTGTAGTATAGACCCCTAGAGGACAATCACAAATGTGGCGTTCCCGTGCACGGAAACCAACCGACAAGAGCGCTTGGGCCTTGCAAAGTAAGCTGCTGAAGCTGCATTTTTTTCTCTTATCAGGCTGTTGTCTGGCGCTCTCTCATCTGTAGCGCTCTCTCGCCTCATACTCTCCTCTCCGCGCTTAGTCTCTCATTCCCTTAGCACAGCCGATTAGGAAGGTGAGTGAGCCCTTAACCTGAGCGTTTTCGACGGATTCTTTTCCTTTTTTCTTTACTGCCGGCCCATTTCGCACCAATACATTCGCATTCGTGTGCAAGAGCCACACCAATGTGATCCTGGGGCATGCCTTCAATTCCTTATAGTCTGATTAATCCATGCATTCGGAATTACCTTTTTCTGCTCGCATATCGCGTATTGAACTCAAAAAATTTATTTATTTATACATTTATTGCGTCAGAACATGCGCTAAACCATGGCAATAATAATCTGGGAAAGGTTGGTAAAATAAGAGATTTTTACAATTACGAAAGCAAATAAGATAGCAAATAAATACTCAACGATGCGCTCTGAAATGGGCATGTTGGATGAGAAGAGGAGATAAAACAGAATACCACAAAGAACGCAAAATTTGCCAATCAAGCGGATTGGGAACTAAATAGTATAATAAATAGTAGATAACCAGAACACTTTCGCTGCCTTGAAGTCACATGGTAGAGTAATTTCTGTTCATCTTGGAAGCACATGAGGCGAGTCATGCCGCAACCGAGAGGCGTCTAAACTTAAAAGCTAACTATAGCACAAGCCTGCATCAGTCGGGAATGATGTCCGCTCGCCAATTGCGGAGTCAGAGGTACTTGCCATATTTTCGAAACACGACTATACCGCCACCGTCGTGGAAACGGCAATAAGGCGAATGTACGGGTGAGCCACGAGGAGACGTGTAAAGGAGTGGGTCGCATACTCAGCTTTCGCATGCTAGTCACAGACAGAACCTAAATTGCTCAATTGGCACGGATGGTACCCAGCAGATCCATAATACAAAACGAGGTGCTTAAGCTGGCAGGCATCCACGATCTGTGCTTTCCTTC